TAAAAATATTTGCAATATTATTAATATATAAACATATACGCACATACATATATGTTAAATAAAAATTGTCAGTCCCAAAAAATATACAAGATTTAATTAAAAACTTACACCATGATAAAATTACAACTGATTCGTCAAGATCTGGTTCATCCTCGGTTTTCCGTGGCACAGGAGATAGCTGATGGACTTCTGCTGGGCTAGGAGATCTTTTCCTTTTTCTGTCATTGCATTCCATTTGCTTTGATCCTTCTGCATCTAATGTGGCTTTTTGTTTCAAGAAATAGTTTTCGCCTATTTTTGAGTCCTTTTCCATGCAAATAAAAATAAAAATGTGTGATTAAAAATGCATTAAATTTACAAGAGGTAAATCTTATACATTTGTTACATATTACTTGTATCATTTTATATGTAATAAATAAAATAAATTGTATACCTGCTTATCTCGTGAAATGTCGATATCATCATTTTTTTCATTTAAGTTTTCTACATTAACTGAAATGTCCATTTTTTCATCTTGCACTGTATAATCATCATGAATAGTCTTTTCGTCGTGCTTTAATTCACATGTTTTGTCTACCTGATCAGGTATCACATGTGTTGGTTGTTCAACTTCCGGAATGTCTGTATTATCCTTAATGTTATACTTATCCTCTCTATGTTCAACATTTTCTTTCTCAATTGAAATTTTATCTTTAATGCTTTTCTCAAAAGCATCTTGTATTTTACCGATATCTTCATCTTTAATTTCTGTCTTTTCTTCCAGTTTAGTAATAGCTTTTGCTTCGGCAGTCAGCTGTTGAATTTTGCCATCTTCATCTATACTAGATCCCTTTGCTTCATGATCTCCTCGAGATATAGAAAATTGATCTATGCGTGCAATTGTACTAGGTTTTTCAGACGGTTCTGTCACAGGTACTTGGAGAATATTTGCTCGATACTTATTACCTTCTAAGATATTAACACGCTTTGCTTCTTCCTCCTCCTCCTCATATTTATCAGAAGAATAAATTTTGTTCTGAAGAATATTTGACGCATCCTCTTCTTGCTCTTCTCTATACTTTTCAGGAGACAATTTTGACATTTCCTCTTGTTGTATAGCTTCTTCGGAGATAGATTCCGAAATTAATGTCTCGTATGCCGTCTTCTGCTTGTAGAATTGACCGGAGTAGATTGCTTTGAAGAAATT